TAAGAAAAGTTATTGTACATTAAATTTGGATGAAAAATACATTAGCCAGCAAAAAATTAAGGTCACCTTAAAATTTTCATGTTCATTGAAATTTTACGTTTTCAGATCGTATTCGCAAGCTGTACATCATTGCATGTGCTTTTGTAAGCTTTTGGTGCTGGTGTGTGTCTGCGGATCCGTCGTCCCAACTCGTCCCAGACATGTTCTATGGGATTCATGTCTGGGCTGCGGGCTGGCCAGTCAAACCGCCTAATTTCTACCTCATCTAGATACTACCTGACAATTCTGGCTGTATGTGGTCTCGCATTATCTTGCATAAAAATGCCACTTTTCCCCATAGTCACCATGAAAGGCATAACATGGTCTTTTAGCACCTCCGTAATGTACCTATGAGAGGTTAGGGAGCCATTTTCTATGAAAACCAACTCTGTTCGAGCTTGTGCAGTGATTCCCGCCCAAACCATAACTGTCCCACCGTCAAATGGAAGACACTCGTCAATGCAAACTTCAGCATATCTTTCCCCAGGTCTTCTCCACACTCGTCGACGTCTATCTGACTCAGTGAGGCAAAACGCGACTCATCTGAGAACAATACCCAGCTTCAGTCATCATCATTCCAACGAACGTGATCTCTGGCAAATGTCAATATTGCAGTTCGATGCTGGCGTTGCAACAGGGGACCTGTATCCATTCTTCTGCATGACAGTCCAGCAGCATGAAGTCTTCTTCTAAAGGTCCATTCACTGACGGTGACATTTCTCACTTCTTCCAACTGATTTCGCAGTGAAACCGCAGTAGCTGTCCTATTCCGCAAACTTGTAGAGACCAAAAAACGGTCATCTCGTTGAGTGGATAACTCTTTTTCGTCCAGACTCTGGTCTTCTAGTGATCAGGTCAGTCTCCAGAAAGCGCTAGTACACCCTTTGCACACCACAAAGACTAGCAACAACAATTCTTGCAGTTTCACGTTGCCCCCGACCATCTTGTAACAGCGCAACAATTCTTGCCACAACAATCGGATCTAAAGGCATTATGGGCCTGTTAAATCACTACACTTTGCAATCGTTAGGTTTTACACAAAGAATCAACAGTAAACGAGAAAACAGGCAAGGGAAATGTGAATGTTCAATTAGCGTAAAGGCACATTTTTCATAAAAGTCGTACAATCAGTGGGCCTTTGTATTCTAATAAATCGAATGACAGCTGTCAAGTCTCGGACAACAATTGCTTCAACCCCTACTAATACTATTATGTCCTTATCAATATTGACGCTACACCTTAGATTATACAAACCTTAGATGGAACATAAGACACTGCGCATAATCCCATTTCGAAATTATTCACACCCACCAATCACAGTTGAGAACATCACATGTCAGAGCGTTGTCCATCCAAATTTAATGTGTCAACTAGAATTAATTTGGTATTTTAGTGACTTAAATTTTGGAAATTAACGTTTAAAATGCCAAGATGTGTTGTAGAAAGCTTTATTTATAATAAAAGTGCGAAATGTGACGGAGATAAAAGAAACTTATATTTATTTCGGTGAGATATTTAATTTTTAAAGATTCTGTCGACGTCCATATTTGTTGATTTAAAAATAAACAGAATCGGACTTGGTCATTGGTACATGTTATAAGTAGCAAATAAAGGTTATTTTTATAAACTGTTTACTATTTCTTGTTTCATGCTGAATCTGTTTTCAGGAAGTGGAAAGAGAAATATACAATCAAATACAAAAATATCAATTTCATTGCCAATTTATTCGTTTCAAACTTCACAACTGGTTTCAATAGTTTTTTCAAAACTATTTATTTAGTATTTCTCTATAACAGGGTTACTTAAAGTGTGCTCCGTGGAGCCCTGGGGCTCCGCAAAGCCTTTGTGAGGACTCCGCGAAGAAAATAATCATAATAAAAAAAACATCTCCACAAAATGGAGGGACCTGGCTTGAGGACCTTTTTTTGAGAAGTCATTTTTTTAAGTCACTAAGAGAAAGGAGGATATGATTTTGCTTTAGGACTTTTTTTATTTTATTTTTTATGGGTGAAATGGATTTGGGATAATTCTTGCAAGGAATCTTTGGAATTAATCAAAAATAAATTAACAACAAATTATATTCTTATGCATTTTCAGTCTGAGTTGCCGATTAAATTAATCGTAGATGCATCAAATGTAGATATAAGGGCCATATGTCATGTTTTTAAAAAAAATATTGAAAAATCTATAGCTTCTGCTTCGCGTACCTTATCAAAGTCCGAACAAAAATATTCCCAAATTGAAAGAGAGGGCCTTGCAATAATTTTTGGCTTAAATAAATTTAATGAATATTTATATAGACATTTCTTTATAGATTACTTACCTCTGGTAACTATTTTTAACCCAGCTAAAGGTATACCCCAATTTTCAGCCAACAGACTACGTAGGGCCGTTTAGGGCCCCGTCAAATATTTCGCTTTTCAAAAAGGTTCCGTCCCCAAAAATGTTTGAGAAACACTGCTCTATAATAATATGGGATCTATCCATTTAATTACATTTTATTTTCTCCAATTTTGACATATAAAGTAATATATTTTATAATCATAGCAAGTGCCAAAACGATCTACTTTATGCAACCAGTTGCATAATGTAGAACATTATGCAACTGATTACGAAAAGTTGATTATGTCACCAGTTACGAAATGAAAATAAATAAAACTGCCTCTTTTTTGGTTTTTAAGTCGAAAAATCGAGAAATCGAGTAATCGAAAATTAAAAAAATCGAAAAATCCAAAAAACGAAAAATCGAAAAACCAAATATCGAAAAAAAGGCAATGAATAGTGACATTTCACATTTGAAAATATGACATTACGTTTAACAACAAAAAAGAAAACAAAAAAAGAAAAGCTTTAAATGGCGTTTTATTTTTAAATAATTGAACACCGTTATTGAAAACTGCCCAGAAATGTTGGGGGTAAAATTTTGACGTACTCCTTTAAGGATAATGGGTAAAAATGTTTTTTTTTCAAATTTCTCGCGGGTAATGTCAAAAATCAGATCAACAACACTGCACATGTTCCTTATTTTTATTATTATTATTATTGAAAAAAAAAAGTCGTAGGGCAAACAAATACAACAATTTTCTGAAATATTTGATTGGAAGTGCCTGCAAAAGAATGCTGGTGAATCATTTTTAAACACAATTTTGTAAATAATCAAGACAAAATTAGAAAAAATCTTGTATGTAAACACGTTACCAAATGTCGTTTTGTGTAACTAGTTCATTTTACTCGTTACACAAAATAAGGCATTTCGTAACTGGTTGCATAAATAGCTATTAATTGACTTCCTAATATTTTAAATCATTGAACGATATTTTCCGTAAATACTTAAATCATAAATAATTACCGGTATATAAGTACCAAAACATTGTTTTTTCTAATAAAATTTTATTATTTATTTTATTTTGGTGTGATCGTAGAAAAAATCTTGTGTGTAATTCGGCAAAAAGTACTTTGGCTGTTTCGATAACTTTTTGTCTCAACAGCTATTTTGTTACAATAATTTTATAAACTTTTATTTACGGTCGATTTCACCGTTTTGTTAAACGAAGTTTAAAATAGTAAACGAAGATTAAAATGACATTTTTATATTAACAAAAATAAAGTTTAAATTACTAAATGGAGTTTAAAATGACATTTTTACATTAACAATGTCATTTTAATCTTCATTTAGTAATTTAAACTTCGTTTGACACAACGGTGGAATCGCCCCTTAGCTAGTTATATATTGATAAAGTGTTATTGCCCTCATCAAAAATGAATCGTGCTGACAAATAAAGTCAAAAAAACGTCTCATAATTTTTCATCTTTTAGTTACCTACCAAAATTAGGTAGTACAATACAAATATTTAAGTCCGGTCCAGAACATCTCCCTACTCCTTCCACCCAGTTTTTCGGTTTTGGCAAAATTCGCGCAGTGACAAATGCTTCCTATGTTACCTCTACCCTTTCTAACCTCTTTGCGCTACACTTATTCGCAATTACTGAAGTGACCTCAATTTTTTGATCACCAGTGTATATATAGGATCCTAAAAACTTGGATGAAACTTTTGGAGATTACTTTTCAACTAAGTTTTTCATAAATACATAAATGAAAACAGTTTAAACATGTATTATAGTAATTCAAGATCTCAGTGCTGCACCACATCAGATATTTTAAAATCAACATTCTTTTTTCATCCTTTGTATACCTATTTTCACGAAAAATGCAGCTGATAATATTGCCAATTATCGACCGATTTCAATATTGAGTATTTTTTAAAAAATTGTAAAAATATAATACATAATAGGATGATTAATTATATGTCTAAATATAATGTTACAAAGAGCCAACATGGCTTTAGAAACCCAAACAGCTACCTGTAAATTTTCTGAATATGTATATAAATATCTTGATGATAGTTTTCATAACACTGGTTTGTTCTTTGCTCTTTTAGGTGCTTTAGATTAAAAATAAATTGTATAATCTAGATTTTAGAGGAGTTTTCTATGAATGGCTTTCTAGTTTTATTCGTAAAACCAAACAATGATAAAGTAAAGGACAGCCGATCTTACATGTATCCTAGTTTATTTGATTATTCAATCTTTGATGAATGGTCTAACGAATAATGTTAATAAAACTGATAAATACATGAAGATCCAACAACAATACTCTTAAATAGTTAAACATCACATAGATTTATTGAGCAAAAAATTAAATAAATCTTACTATGTTTTCAGCGTAGAATAATCCAATCTTTACCATTGGATGTCGTCATAAATATCTACTGCATTCATCTCATCTACAACGTATTTTTATGGAGCTATGGTATGATAAAGATAGAGTATTTATATCTCCAAAACTATATTCCAACCACTTTAATCCAACCGGAATTTTGAACCCTTTTCTCCACCATATTTTCTAGAACCAGTACTATTTTTTCAAATGTACCTAATAGTGGATTCCTATTCCTTTACAGGCTGCCTACTAGACGGAGTACCGCGACCGCCTGATGTACCGCCTCGCAACCCCACAATGAGCCGTTTGAACGGAAGACTGGCATCTGCGCCACCAGCAGAATCACCCCAAGATTTCGAACCCTCTTGCCTTGTAAGGACACCGTCAGGAAATGTGTACATACCAAGTGGAACAATTAGTGAGTCTCATTTTTAATAAAATAGTGATGGTAAAGTAGTGAAAAGTGAAAAAGGTGAAAGAGGTAGTGCAAAAAAAAATGTGGTTTGAAGATTGATCCCAGTTAAGGTAGTAGAAATTTTATTATTTTTCAGAGCATTCCAATTGTTTTGGCTTACATTTTCTAGAAAAAATATATCTAGGTACTAAAAATGATTAGTTTCCAAATAAAAACACGCACTATTAATGAATCTATTATTGTTTTTATTTTTCTTATTAATTTATATGGAATTTAAGATTAGTAACCGCATTATTCAGGAAGTTATGGTCAATTACAAAATGCTCTAATGCATTGCCACATGATATTCGGTTTAGTCACGTTGTTACTAAAGTGTAACTGATTAATAGGTATACAGATATACGTGGTAAAAGCAGTGTAAATAATTTAATACAAAGTTGAACAATAATCGATTTGACTGTACATATACATTGTTATAGGTTTAATTCGGGAAATTAATGAAAACAAATGATCACCCTATACTAACTTTCATTGTGAATAAATGTATACATCAAAACGAGAATATGATACGAAAATGTGCCTTTTTATGTTATATTTGAAGATTCTAACGCCCATTAAAATATTTGCTGATACATGTTTTCACAAAGTGGTCCATTATTAGTGTTCAAATTTCTGCAGTGTCTGTGCTACCATAACTTCCTCTGCTTCAGTAAACAATGATTTATACCCATACTATTTTTAAATATTACGGAGATTTTGTTTTATTATGAACTTTTTTCCTTTTCTGGTATGTAATAGGAAACTAAACATACAGAAGAAAATCTGTTTCCATCTTGATTGCTAATAAGCATTCCTAGAATCTAGTGGTAGCTTCTAATGTACTCAACTGGGTAATATTTCTCTTCATATTTTATGACAGCATATTTTCCAACTTGCCACTTTAATTCACCATTATCACTTAAATCCATATCATCATCTACGTCTATTGGAAAGTTAGAAGAGTCAGAATTATCCTCTATTTTTTTCTTGGATGTAGTATTTTTTTGTAATCGTTGCAGGAACTGAGTCTTCGTTTTCCTGGTTTTCGCTTTTTTGCAGGATTTGTTTTTGTCTTTTCTCCAGTTTTTTTTTATCTTTTCTCCAGTTTTTTTTATCAGTATATTCATAACATTCCCTATATTAGCCACAAAAAACCATGGCTGGGTAAACCGTTCGCTTTCTTTTTGGGGTCGCCTTTTCAGGTGTTCTTGCAAATACCAATTTTTTTTTGATAGGCGTAGGGATTTTAAATCCTTCTTGTTCTTTAGTTTCATAGTAGCAATCTTTAACATCTGGAGGCGTCTTCCACATAAAACATCCGCTACTTCTGTTGATTCAACAGACTTTTAAGAGTTATCTTACCACAGCTCTGCGTAATATAATATTTTAAATGTAGAAATTGGCACTTGTGAAGGTTTATTCACAGTATCATTGGTTATAGATGTATTTGTAACTAGGTGTCCGTTATTTAAATCTGTCACTCTCACACTAAATATGAAACTCATTTTTTAACCGACTTCAAAAAAGGAGGAGGTTTTCAATTCGTCGCAATATTTTTTTTTATTTTTTATTCTTTAACACGGTGTCCGATTTCAATGATTCTTTTTTTGATTCAGGGGTCGTCCCATATTAATTTGGTCAAAATCTAATAATTGGGTCCATGAGAAAATCCTCAAACTCTTAATTTTTCATGTATGTTTAGTGATAATTCTTTACCACCTTGTCCGATTTCTATGATTATTTTTTTGTTATAAAGGGGATACCTCTGGGGTAGTTCCATATACAATTAATCAGGATCTGATGATTTATGAGAAAATAAAAAATCTCAATTTTTAAGGGCATCTGCAAGATTTTGAAGTCGGTATTTTAATTAAAAAATTATTATTGATAACTAAACTTTATATACAGGTTGATGGATTCTTGTATCCCATCCAATTATGTCTACTTTAATATGTTTCTAAAACCAAACTAGCTCGTCTCCTTTGAAATATAATTTGATTTTTTCAAGATTTACCTACCAAGTGCCCATTTGTTAGGAACAGATTCAACAATTGATTTTGTCATTTTTTTTTAATGGTACCACCTTCTCATTAGCAGAAAAGGTCATGTATTACTCTTGTTCAGAACTGTATCTTTTATAAAAATCCTCTTTTGACTTTGCAGGTCCTAAAATTTTCCACTTTTAGGGCACAACTGAAAACCTGCTTCGTCTCCATTGAATATCCTACTTGGGTTAAGTACGTGAATATATCATCGAAACAATTATGGATATGGTCTTGCTGCACGAGCTTTGGTAACTGACTCCGTATGTCTTTGTTTTATATTAGGATGCTGACGAAGGAAATCCTCAAACCAGGGTCGTCCAGGCAGAGAAGACTTACTTGTAAATCGGAAATCTCTGCCACTTGCTTCTAAAATTTTCTTAGCAGTTAAAGTTATAAAAAAACCTTTTCTGGCCATTACAAGAATTCAGTTTTAGTATAAATCCTGCTCTGTTTTACACAGTTTAGTTGCAGGGTCCATTTTTCTGGACAGAAGAACTTTCCCTGAGAATTTATATTTTCAAAGCTACCTTCTTCTTGCTCAAGCCCTTTTCCCTTTATCTCTATAATGGCTTTTTGCACGTCATCCTCGTAATAAACAAATAATGATCTTTGTTTCTTCTTATTCCTTTTTACAGCCATTTCTGAAACCATATTTTATTTTATTATTTTTGCAATAAAAGTCATAATTTTTGTAAAACTTTTGATAGAGCAGAAACCATATAGGTATCAAATCTACAGAAAAAACTGAAAACAGAAAATCCCCAAAAAAACCCGAAAAAAACCATAAAAACCCTAAAAAAAACCCGTCAGGTTGGACTTTCTTAAAAAAAAAAACCGGATTTTTTCCAACCCTGTCTTCAAGAACATCCTTTTTAATCAAAGTAAAATAATTTAACTCAAATGTTATCATTATTAACTTATCTGATATCATATTAAAGAAAAAACTCGATTTTTATTAAAAATATCGTTCACAGTATCTCAATTTAACCACTGAATTTTATAAACTTTTAGTATACATTAAACCACATTTTGAAAAATTGACGTCTATGTCATAATACCAAAAATTTGGCGGGTAATCTGAAACACATTAATAAACATCGATTATACATGTGGACTACTAATATATGCATTTTCAACTCATCTTTTAGAAGTTGAGTATTTAAGGGGATTAGGAATAGTGACCATTATTGGCACATTTACCCCATAAAAAAAATAATTGACTAGAATTTACAAAATTATAATTCATTATTTTACCCTGTTTCAAAAAATATTTAATATATTTTTCAATATTTGTCAATGTTCACAATTTTTTAGGACACAAAAATGCAAATAAAATTATGACAGAACATAAAGTGGTTTGACACTTGGAAAGAAAACTTACAACGTTGTCAGATCGTTTGTCCTATTATAAACCATCTCCTGGAATATAACATATAATATTGTTATTATTTATAATCTTTTTTGTTAAACAAATTTATTGATCTTTATAGATAAATTTTTCATATTTAGTTTCTCTATTTCTATTATTACGGATTATATTCTATAATTAGGTATATAAATATTATTTTTAGAAAGATATTAATCCAATACTAAACATTTTGTTATCTTTGATAAGATTACACATCTATGAAATAAAATATGTCGAATACTACCAATTAGATAATTAAATCATATAATTAACAATTTAATTAATGAATGCAAATTTATTTATTTCGTTTAGTTTCCAATACTAAAAGTTTTTGTTTTAATTTAATATTATTTTTTAAATACAACTATCATTAATCCTTGAACATTTTTTAGAATTAACACGCTTCTACTGGCAGCTGACAAATTACGAAATCCCTTTTTGAATACCGATCATTATTATAGAATCACATTCGAAAACAACGCCTGTGCTGCATCAATATTATTGTTTAGATGTCCTTGACATAACGTAACCTTTATTTTTATTATTTTCAATTGATGCATCATGCTCATTGACCTTCCCCAGCTTTGTTAAAAGAAAATAATGCTCTTCCGATCGTTATCGCTAATGATAAATCAACAAAAAAGTGTATAGAATGAGTGAAATGTGGATATAAGGATTAAAAAAAAAACATTCGATTAGGTTCGTGGTTGCGTGGGTTTCAGACACGGACTGCGGATTTGAAAAAGTGGATACTGTTACATGATTTTTTATACTATCAAATTACTAGTATGTTTTTTAATATTAGTTTTTTTATTACCTTATCTATTTTGGGCCCACTTTTATTTTCACTTTATGTAAATAGTTTGCTAAATCTAGAAATATCTGGATAAATTAGTTTTGCTGACGATACAGTTATTCTGTACACGGAAAAAAATGTGACTAGAAAATTTTACTACAATGTTGTTGTAGTAGTAGACTTGTAGAAAAATACTTAACAATTTGTAGAAAATTTTACTACAATTTATAGTTAAAAACTATTAATTATTGTAGCAATTGAATTGTCGAATAAAATGCTACAACAATAGGAAAGAAGTCCACAATGTTTAGTATATTTTACTATTGTTTGTAGAAGTAGAAATTTATTACAATTATCGTAATTACTACTACTAACTTCTGTAAAAATTTGTACAAATATTAATAATTATCTCTACAAAAAATAGTAATTTTCTCTACAAAAAATAGTAATACTTTACATCCCTTCTTCAAAAATATTCTATAATATTGTAGAAATTCTAAGTCATGTGAACAAAACAGAATTCTGCTATTGGCCAACGTTTTCTGACGTCGATCATAAACGGCCAGACAGCAGTAGCCGTTCGCCAAGTTCACATAACAAAGCATAGTACATATACGAGTACCTATAACACATTATTATATTATAAGCACCGATGCGTTTGAGAAAATTTTAATATAAAATTCTATTGGTGGTAAGTACATTTATTATTGTTTCTGAATAATTTACCTTTAGATAACTAATTTAAATAACCTTTCTCATTTTTGTTAGTTATCTGACTTAGTCATTTAATATCCAAATCAGTGTAAAGGTGATAAATATCCCCGTTTTAAAGGTATGAACAATTCAATTGGTATTAATTTTTATTTCATATTTTTCAGGTGCAGAAAAGCCAACTGAGACTGAGGGCGCTATTATTACTGTTATTTATTACATAATGTAATTAAGAATTTGTATCTTTTATATTAAAACAATAAATTGAATATTTTATTAAGGAACATTTTTTTCTAGGTTATAATTATAATAATTATGGAATACTACTACAAATTTTATTAAAAATTACTACAATTTGTATGAATTTTTACTATTTATTGTGTAAAATTTTCGTATTTATTTTCATAAAACTCAATACATTTTTAATATAAATTCATACAATGAATAGCAAAAATTATAACAATAATTTGTAGAACAATTCTTATGATTCATTTGGATCTTTTTACTAAATATTGTAGATAATAACTCTACAATACATTCTCCACAAATATTTGGAAATTTTTACTACAAATTGTCCCTGTCCCTATATGTACTATTTATTGTAGAGAAAAAATCTACAATTGTGGAAATTTGTTCTACAATTTTTTTTCCGTGTACAGTTCTCATACATGACAAGAACTGAAACAGAATATTGAAGCGGATATGATAAAAATAATTGAATGGTTTAATAACAAGTTGTTAACAATAAATTTCGACAAAACTTTTTTTATATCCTTTGCATCGTATGCTAACAGCATGCCTGACTATCAAACGCTAACAATTAAAATCAATAATGCTGATATTAATGTAAACAAAACGAATCGTATCAAATATTTAGGGGTTAGGGGCCGTTCAAATATTACGTAAGCAGATTTATTACAATTATTTACCCCCCATCCCCCTTATCAGCAAAAGTAAGCAAAACTCTTAACCCCTCCCCCCATGCTTACGTACACATTTTTCAATTATAAATGTAGTTTTTTTTATATTACAATATTATAATTATAATTTTAAAAATAAAAAAATAGATTTAGGATAGAAATTAGATTTTTAGGTCTAATTTTCCTATCAGTGTGCGTGTTTACTTTTTTATAGATCTTCTCGATGTGACGATTTAGTGACTTGACGGAAGTATGATAAAGATCACACGTTTTGCATGTTCGACTTGATAGCCTCAATTTTACCGTCGGACAAAAATAATCATAGGGCATTTGCAGGAAATCTTTGAGTGAAGTACTTAAGCGTAGAGCTAAATTGACTGGAAGATCAAGAAATTGCCCTCCTTCATCCAAAACCGAGTCATCAACTGTTTGTTGGTGGAAGAAACCTGTTGTCTAGTAATCTGAATAGGCCACTTCTTGGACGACAGCATTCTGTATTTCTACATTTTACAATTTGAAGCAAGTATTGGCTTTCCGAATACCATTTAATGACTGGAAAATCAGAAAGATCTTGTTCACCTGCCCCAACATATTTTGCAGTAACATTATAGCCATCAATTTCCATTGAACTCCATACTTCAGCTAATACATTTCCTGCAAATTCGAAATTAGATCTTTCTAAATGTTCATCATTTATAACGCCACGTTCATCCAAATGAATATCATGAGGCAATATTAAACCAGCCAGTTCCCGACTAAGAGGAGCCATTCTGCGCGCTACTCTGTTATACGCACTTCCAGGAGCATTGGTAGCTAAAAACAATGCATCGAGGTCATGTCGCTTAAAGTGTTGTATAGCAGACCCTATGACTTTTTGATAACGCGGATTTTCATCTGGCCTTCCATCAACCGTCATGATTTACCACTGGTTTTACTAGTCCATGGTCAGTTTTAGCTGATGGTCGAAACTCTTCAAGTTCGAGAAGCGTGTCGAAATCCTGAGTATGAGTATTAGCAGTAGATGAAGTATGCTTTCCACTTCGAATAGCGATGTATGTTGGTCCAGAATATCCAACGGCTTCCGGTTGTCCTAGCATAGTGGAAGCATAAACAGATGGTATTAATTTATGACGCACAGCGATTACCCAATCGTTGTCAGGCAATTTGATTCTAAATTCCATGTGCATTAGAAGAGGTGCTTGCTTATTTGCCGCAGTTACGCCAATAGGAACTCGAGCTTTATCATCTTGAGATATAAAAAATACTTGATCTGGTCCAAGTATGGATGCTATGTTCTCTAAATAATGGATTGATGTTTCAACGAATTTGCTGTCTAAGTGGCTCTTGTGGTGATTAGTTTGAGCCCGAATGAGCTTAACAGGGACTGTCGATACATGTCTTCGTCCCTCTGCAGAATTAGATTTTCTGGGAATCAAACGAAGATATGTCCCACTGCGACTAATGTCAAATCCTATTTTACGTAATTCTTGTGTGCATTCATCAAGAGTTTTTACTTTGCGAATAGATTCCGTTCGTCTTTTATCATCTGCTGCACTCCCAAATAATGCTATATCCGCAATTGTTTTCAATAGTGATGGTTGATTGCTTTCAAGATTAGGACATCCCACTGAATCCCTCAGAGATAGTCTTTTTTATTTCTGGATTTTCATGACAAATATCTTCTAACTTTCTTTTCATACCATCCCTGTGTTTCTTCTGGGCAACTGCGTTTTGAATCTTCCTGTTTAAAAACTGTTTTGCTGTTTTTATTTCCTCGCGCAACATAATGATTTGTTTATGAACTTCAGCACGGCTTGGCATAGTATCTCTGGCAGAATACAAAGCATTCAGATTTTTTTCGAGTAGAGCAATCTTATTTTTCATAGCTTCCTGAGAAGGTTTTGCTCTCTGTTTATCTGCATTATCATTATTTTCGCATTGCTGTTGTAATTCATTACCGAGTTTTATTTTATCTTCTTCCTGTTTTTTAATATTTGAAGCTGGCTGTATAATTTGTGTTTTTTCTGCAGGTTTACAGGTAGTCGTTGCCTAAAATTAAAAACCTTATATGGGTCCTGCTAAAGATTCTCTTATAAATACAAAGTATGCAATAAAAAACTGCATTTAAAGATTATTTAAAGCCGGGAATCGAACCCATCACATACAGAAAACTAACACCCTATATTTTGTGACCAATTGACGGAGTCAATCTTAAGAAATAAATCTATATAATGAATATTACCTCTATACTTTGAGATAGTTCATAATATTTTCTAATCATGAAACGTCTAAATTATTGTTACAAAATGTAAAGAGAAACTTTTTGGCGATTTCTAATATTTATAGTACTCATAGGTACCTAAAATTATTTCGTTACTCACCTTGGAAAAAAATGTAGTAGATTGGAATTATTCTTAGTCGCCGTTTGCAATTCTTCTTCAATTCTCTTAGATACAATAATATCTAGTTCCTTGTCGGACTTTGCTTGTAATTTATAATTTCGCCATACTTCGTTAACTAACTTTTGTACATTTTGTACTTTCGTACTTGTATGAGATTTTTTAAAACTTTCAAACAATTTTTGGTATAACTTGGATTTGTCTATTTGAAACAACATCTTATTTAAACATTAAACTTTGGCTAATGGAATCACACAAATGTTAACTTGCTTTGCTATGCTTACAATACGTCTACTCGCTATAGTATCCAAACGAAACAATACACTGATTGGAAATTTATAAAGTGAATAGCGCAGTAATTCCCCTACTCGATTCTAAAGCGAGGCCTAAACGTATGCATTATTTGCGGGAATCCCCGAAAATATGTTTCGTTTTCAAGCTTAGACAATGTTAGGGTTGCCATTCGTGTAAAAAAGTAAATAACTACCGATGACGTAATCATCATTTAGACTCCCCTACCCTCATGTCATCCAAAATAAGCAAAACAAAGAACCCCTCGCCCCCCCCCCCCCATAGTGCAAATGCAGAACTCTATTGGTCGGTCGCTACACATGCTTCTGTTGGTTGATAGAGGGGGTTTAGATAAGTATAATGGCGCTTAAATCATGATTTTTGATTTTTTTGTATTGTATTGTAGGTATTGCTTCTAGGCCATCGTTATTAATTTTGGATGACATATCTTTATTTGCTGGTTTACTATGCAGTAACTCAATGTAGTTTACCAATATAAACCTCATCTGTCAAAACCATAGTCGCCTATTTATCACGGCCACCTACTGCAACAAACCATGTTAATATTATATTTTTTGCATTATAAGTGTTATGGATTACTTTTACAAAAAAAACATTTCTACCATCTTTAGTTAACTAAAATGACCAAAGGGATAGATTGAGCTAGTACCCATCTGAATTTTAGCATTTGGTTTGACTAAAGTTGGTAATTTTTTTTATTTAACGAAATATGGTGGATTTATTTTTATTTTTTAAACTTGACAGTGCATCTTGACGGCCTGACAACTCAACTTTTAAAGGACGTGCCTTCCCTATAGCTGCCTTGACAAGTTTGGTGATATTCAAAACTTTGTGAGAAGTCAATGGTTCCAATTCAGTCAAAATCTCACATACCGCATTAGAATCATTTAACGACTCATCAATCCCGTAAAATTCTTTTCACAAATTGATCTAGAACAAAATTCAGCATACATCTGTGACATATCTTTTAATAAATCATTTTCCTGTTTTAAATTAACACAATTATCAATTTTTGTATTATGTTCAATTAACAAAGAGCGAATGTCGTTCATTCCAGTCGTTAGAAGGGTAAGTTGGGTCATCAACAAATTAAAATGACTTTCTCCAATTGATACGCCACTGGAGGAAAAATTTTGATCGGTAGCATTGGTAGTTTCCATCGACCAAGCAATCAGCGTAGGAACCAGTGTTTGGATTGTATATTAATATTTGAATTCGCCCAGCAAAGCAATTATTTCTACTTGGCCGATAATATAATATAAACTTTTGCATTGATATGTGACAGAAAATAGCTTACTTATTTTTTTAGAATTTATTTCATGTTGAACTAATGATATCGACTAATAAGTAAAATAATAACGAAATACATTTAACTATTATAGGTTTTATGAATATTAAAAACACAATTATAATAAATGTTTGAATTGGTGGTTTGAATCTGGGTACTTTCTGTTTAATTTTGCATTGTGCTCTGATCATGATTAAACTTGCTAGTACTTGATGAAATTCTCCTCATGGATGCAATCATCTGATGATGTTCAACGTCCAATTTTAAGTAATGTTTGATTGACTGACTATTACTGTGTTCAGTAATTTTAATGAACTGTTGTTCAACTACTCCTTCCTTGGCCAAAGTCGAAACAGCTGTTGCTCTTGCAGAATGATTGGTTATTTTAACTTTTTTAGTGTCAATTCCTATATCAGAGGCTGCTGATTTGAACCATGATGATGTAATGTTCTTACCAATTGGGCTATTCTTGTACCATCCTGTCGAATTGGGTTGACTCCAGTATGGGTTTGGTCTGTCGGTCTGTCGGTCTGAATAAGATTTCCCCTTTTTTCATCAACTTCTTAAATAAACGAACCGGACACATTTGTGGATTGACGAAATTTGTAATCAAGCATTTACTATCCGATAGTTTTTTAGAACCACCTTGTGTGGATTATATTCTATCCGACCTTTTGGGTTTTCGAAATTATCAGTTTCTTCTTTGAAATATTGGGTACACCTAGACTATCCTTCCCCTCCTCTCTCCATGCCAACTCATGTGAAACTATGTGAAAAGATTTACGCTGCAATCCATCTGGAGTATTTTCATCCCACATTTCAATAAATTTTTTGCATTTGTCACTGATTAAGGCTGAAACACTCACTTTTCTTTTTAATGGACAACTTGACAAGCACTGAAATTAATTTAAAATGTCAGGTTGGATTAATATTTTGTTTTTCAAATTATGGTGTGAAATGTTGTGAAATTTTCTTTCGGGCACGAATATTTTAGGAAAATTGTCGTGAAAATATTTAGTACATAAATTCCCTGTGTTGAAAAATTGTAACATATTTGACCTACAATCTCTTTATTAATGTAATTAACAAAATCATCTGAAATCTAAACTAATAATCATCATCCCACCGACTATTAAATTAATAACCTCAAATCTAACTGACGAACTTCTATAACCAACCCATTTATTCAAATTTGTGGGAACTTTATCGAACCTCGTTCGGCCGCAGCATAGAAATAGGAGCACTTATGAGTCTATTATCGTCCTCCTCTCCTGTCCTCCTCCCCAAAATAAGTCAACGGTGCTGATTCTAATCCTCCTAGATCGATTTTCTGCAGCCGTTTCGACACTGGGCGACTGCATAGGGAACCTCTAGTCCGGTAACCGACTTATAGAGGTCGCTGCGATCTTAAAAATCGGTCGAAATGATGACGGTGGGCTTTGGAGGTTTGGAGATATTGACAAAAAAGGATTTGCTCCGTTCGGAGAATTTGCATTCTTGATTAATTACTGGAGATAAAACGTGAAAATCAATTGGAATAATATAAAATGGATATAACACTTTTTCTCCTTGTTTAAAAATCATTTCTGTTAAAATGGAAGATATTTGTTTAGTTATTTTTACATTTTTACCATTTAATATTTTGAAAAAAATCTTAATTTTCTCACAATATATCTCTTTGTTAGGTTGGTTTGTTTATTAGCATTGTTCTGTATACATTTTTTAACCTTTTTCTATGGAATATTAGCAACAGAAGTTACTTATTTAGAATACAGAAATGAATTCAGGATGTCCCAAATAAGGGTTATATTTTAAATATTAAATTGCACAGCATATTAGTTACCCTATTTTGGTTGCCCAAAAGTTTTTATAAAGTTTGTGTACATTTTATCACATCAATACAGGGTGTTTCACTAATATTGGTCAAATTAAATAGTTATGTATTATTTTAAATCAAAATTTTTGTATATTTTGAAGGAATTCAAAAGGGAGATTCATCTTCGTTTCAAAAATGTATTGTTTTCTAAACAATACAAATATTGCAGTTTTTTATGGAATAATTGACATTAAATAAAATTAATGAAAATAATTGATTTAGTAACAAAAAATATAACAAAAATTTATTACAAAATACAAAACAATCATTAACCGGCTGTTTCTTGCCAAAGTCATCAACTTTTATCGTAATAAATAACACTTGTACCGTAACTATCGTATCCTAACTACTCCTGAAACATACACATACAGGGTCTCTCATTAGTGCGTAATAATTGTTCAGTATTTCAATTTGTGTTAGACACGCAAACAAGTTTTAAATGAAAGTTATATAGATTTGAAAAATATATATTTTAAAAATATTTTTGAAATTATAGGGTGTTGCGTTTTTGCCTGGCAAATAAAAATGAATATTTTTTAAATAGTACATTCTATATTTTATTTCATTTTTAGAATGGTTTGGTAATAGTGTATGTAACCCTAAACTGTTTTTAAAAAATATTACAGGTTTGCCAAACAAGTAATTTTTTTATTAAATTATAGAATGATGCAGACCCCAACTTAAACTATCATAATTTAAGTAGATTTACAATGATTTCAAAATTGTTTAAAATACAGACTTATAAGATTTATTTCGAAATATGTTTTAAGATTAATTTACTCTATTTTTTCAAATACAACCCCTGTATATTATATTACCATAACATTCCTTATAAATTAACAACAACAATACCAACAGGTTAGCCAAAAACACATATTATTAGTATTTCCAATAATAAAACAGCTATCGATCAATTACGCACTGATGGGACACCCTGTATATGTGTTATTTGCCAATATGTTGGTATTGTTTGATAGGAAAATGTATTAGGAATTTTATGCTAAAATAATATACAGGGTATTGCATTTGAAAAAATTTTGTAAATTGAACTTAAAATTGGTCATTTTTGAGACATATTTCAAAACACTCTGTATAAAATAACTCAGTTTTTACACCACTATTTGTTAGCTTACTATCTTGTAAGTCTCTATTTTAAACAATATTAAAATCATTGTAAAGCTAGCTAAATTATGATAATTTATTTTGGGATCTACTTCATCATTGTCCAATTTTATAAAAAATTAATTGCCTGGCAACTCAGTAATATTTTTTTAAAAACACGTTTCTTTATTTTTCTGTTTTCTATGTTTTTTTATATTTTTCTATATTTTTCTATATTTTTCTATATTTTTCTATATTTTTCTATATTTTTCTATATTTTTCTATATTTTTCTATATTTTTCTATATTTTTCTATATTTTTCTATATTTTTCTATATTTTTCTATATTTTTCTATATTTTTCTATATTTTTCTATATTTTTCTATATTTTTCTATATTTTTCTATATTTTTCTATATTTTTCTATATTTTTCTATATTTTTCTATATTTTTCTATATTTTTCTATATTTTTCTATATTTTTCTATATTTTTCTATATTTTTCTATATTTTTCTATATTTTTCTATATTTTTCTATATTTTTCTATATTTTTCTATATTTTTCTATATTTTTCTATATTTTTCTATATTTTTCTATATTTTTCTATATTTTTCTATATTTTTCTATATTTTTCTATATTTTT